ACAGTGTAAGAGGGTTTCCCTCTTCTCCACATGCTCTCCAGCATCTATTTTTCATCAACTGTTTAATGATGGCCATTCTGATTGGTACGAGATGTACCTCATTGCAGTGTCAAATGGCCTTTCTCTACTAATTAGCAATGCTGAGCATCTTTCCATATGCCTGTTGGCCATCTGTGTATCTTCTTTTAAACCACAGATATCAATTGTGAGAGTGATGTCTTTGGTTTTTGTCTAAAATGAACGACACCTCTGCTAAAACTTCATGAATGTGCTCTGAGTCCAACCTCACATTTCTTGTCATGGGACAGAGTGATGAGGTCTTCAGGAAAGGAATAGTGACTTTATTTGGAAAGCCAGCAGATCAACAAGATGGTGAACTCGTTCCCCAAAGAATCATCCTATCTGAGTTAGATAGGATTTTTTGGGCGAGAGCGATGGTAAGTGTTTACTGAATATAAAATAACCATAGCCCATGGGGAAGAGGAGAAGGCAATGGCACCCCACTCCAGTACTCTTGCCTGGAGAATGCCATGGCCGGAGGAGCCTGGTAGGCTGCAGTCCATGGGGTCGCACAGAGTCAGACACAACTGATGAAGTTAGCAGCAACAGCAGGTTGTGGAAGAAAATTCCAAGGAGAAGAGAGAACTGTACAGATTCAATACCCACCTGTGAACTCACACTTTCACACTTACACACACAGACACATTCTAAAAAAGGAGGAGGTGTAGTTGGTTGTTGCAATGCATTAATTAATTAATTAATGGCTGTACTGGGCACACGTTTTCTCTAGTTGCGGGAAGGGGGGGGGCTGCTCTTTGCTGTGTGCAGGGCCTTCTCATCGCCGTAGCTTCTCTTGCTGTGGAGCACCCACTCTAGGCACATGGGCTTGTGGCCCACGGGCTTAACTGCCCCGAGGCAAGTGGAATCTTCCCAGTCCTGGGATCAGGCCCTTGTCCCCTGCATTGGCAGGCAGATTCCCAACCACTGGACCACCAGGGAAGTCCTGTTACAAGTCCCTCCCCCCCTTAATTTATTTACTTTTAATTTAAGGACAACTACAATTTTGTTAGTTTCTCTCATACATCAACATGGATCAGTCACAGCTTACGTCCCCTCCACTGTGGAAAACTTTTAATCTTGGAATCCTTTGTTCTCGAAGCTGTCCATGCAGGTCTGGTCATACTGTCCCTTTAAGCCCCCAACAAGACAGAATGTTCTGTCTGCTCTGCCACTTTTTATCTCTTTACAAATGGGCAAGTGTTATACCTTTCAAGTTCATAGACTTGAGAATAGTCTTTGTCCCTGAGTCATGTGTGACTCTTTGTGATCCCACAGGCTGCAGCCCGCCAGGTTCCTCTGTCCATGGGGATTCTCTAGGCAAGAATACTGGGGTGGGTTGCCATCTACTTCTTCAGGAGACCTTTCCAACCCAGGGATCGAGCTCAAGTCTCCCACATTGCAGGCAGATTCTTTATCATCTGAGTCACCAGAGAAGCCCACCAGTAGAAAATGTGATTCAATATTTCCTCCCACAATTAATGTTGCCACTGTTTTCCATTTCTGTTTTCCAGACTGAGTTTGTTCTCTCAGTCTGCAAGTCTGCTTCTGTCTTATAAATAAGTTCACCCTTGTAAACTATTACTGAACAGAGGTTTTTTTAAAATTGGCTTTATTTTATTTTAAGCTGAATAATTTGAAGGCTCAACTTGCAAATTTTTATGCTTTATTGGAATTCTTGAAAAAGTAGGATGATCATGGTAACCTACCCAGTATGTGCAATTGATTAGAATAACTTCTCCTGAAATGTTAGATAGTCAAAATAGAACGTTAGTATATTCAGGGGATTACTAAGAGGTGGTGGGACATTTGAAGACAATCCTATAATTCTTGGACTCCACTGTTCACCTCAGAGGTGCTGGGCTGCTTTGGAGGAGGAGGAGTGTCCACGGAAGAACCCTTTAAAAAGAGATCTAGCTCTTCAATTTATAACACTCTCTGTGGCCAAAGATGGGGCCAAGTCAGGGCTCAGCATGGTCTTGGTTTACATCGAATTCCTCAAAGATACTGGACTCATCGGAGGGGTGCATGGGGCTCAGGGGAGCGGGAGTGAACAGTCTCTCAGAGAGGCTCCTGTGGTTCAAGTGGGCGAATATCACATCTTCTGCTGCAGGGTCCTGAGAGGAAGGAGGTGTGAATGATGGAATGAGATGCAATCTTTGAAGGCTGGGGCATTGGGCATTGTAGGGGCTCAGGCTATGGCAAGGGTTTGGGCAGGGAGGACTCACCTCACCACTCACTGTTTGATCTTCCTGGGGCTCTCCTTCCATGACGGCAACATCTGCAAATGGAAGAGAGTCAAGGCTTGTGGTGGGGGTGGGGGGTTCTTCTAGACCTCCATATCTTTGGTGGGCACATCAAAGCCAAAAAAAGCAGGGGTGTGCATCAGGTTGCTTAGCCTGTATAATCCATTTAAAAACAACAACAACAACAAAAAAACCCATTCCTTATACAAGCCCAGCCTCTGATGGACTCTCTTAGGAACCTGTGCAAACCCACGAAGCCCATTCTACATCTTCTGTTATGGACCATCCTCTAATGCATATCAGGAGGTTTGCAAGATCATAAAGGGGAGAAGAGCAGATGGCTCTGACTGGAGGGAAGATCAGGGCTTGGAACGTCCCTGGTGGCCGGGGATAAACCGTCCTCCTTCCCATGCAGGGAGTGTGGGTTCTGCCCCTTGTGGGAGAACCAAGACCCCACGTGCTGTGAAGCAGCTAAGCCCCACAGGCTGCAACTGCTGAGACCATGGGCTCTGGAGCCTTGAACCGCACCCCAGCACCACAAGTAAGATCCCCCATCCTGCTGCCAAGACCTGCTGCAGCCAGAAATAATGAACACATATTTTCGTAAAAAGAACAGGGTTCCATGGTTCTCTGCAAGATATTCCCTCAGGGAATACAACAACGGAAATCAGTTCTTAACCTACAGGAAGTGACAACACCATGCTCTGCTCTGAGCCCACCTCCCCCTGGGTCAGATGACACTGTTCTTCCCTCTTTCAGACTTAATGATTCTGGGTAGAACACCAGTGACAGTTTGGCTCTGCACACTTACTTCTTGGGTAACCAGTGACAGACCAGAACAGCGAGGAAGAGGCTGGTATAGATGAAGGCCACAGAGAGCCTAAGGAGAAGGTGCAGCTGGCTGGAGTGGCCTTGAGGAAGCCGTGCTTCTGCCAAAAGCAAACGGGAGAAGTTCTGGTTATTCATTGCATACACCCTGCCCCTACACACAGGATTTATTGTATGCTTGTGTCAGAGTGTGTCAGCATCTCTCAACCTGATCAGTTATGGTCTCCACTTCCCAGGAGGCACCAAAGCATCCAGGAGAGATGCTAGCAGTGGATAAAGTAAAGAGGCTGTGCAGACCAGCAGGGGTGTGAACCAAGGTCCCTCGGGCACTGATGCAGTTTTTCTCTGGTCCCCCTCATCAAGGCATGGTGTTTATGCATGATTGGAGACCCCTTTAATCCTCAATATGATTACCCCTCCATCCACATATACCTGGAATGGAATTCTCAAGAGGACACGACACTTCTATTTCTGAACAGTGGAATGTTTATTTCATAAAACAATAGGGAAAGAATAGCACATATTAAAGTGCTCCCTACAATTCTCCTGTTCTCCCCCACCGCCACCATCCTTCCCCAAAGATCCTGGTGGAGGGAAGGTAAGCATCTCCCTTAAGCATGGGGTCAGGTCACTCAGACCCACTCTGTCCGATTTAGAAATTCCCAGTCCCAGACCATGAGAAACTCAATGCCCGCTTTGGTTCTAATACAGACCATGATCTCAAATGCTGACATGACAGGAACGTTGAGGAGCCCAAAATCACAGAAATGGGAGGTGGTAGAACCAAGACTCACACAGGAACCCTCTGTCTTCTCAGATACTTGCTGAGATAGGAGACAGTCTTGCTTACCTTCTGTGGTGTGTGGATCCATGGATGATGGGCAAGTACTTGTAGTGGATTCTAGGAGAAAGTAGACAGAAGGGGTGAGCAAGTAACATACCTCGCCCCATGAGTGAGGACTATTCTTTTTGGAAATTTGACCTCCTGCCTGTCTTTTGACTCTGTCATCCCCCAGAGCACTGATGGGCATGGAGAGAGCTTCTGGTCCCTCCCCATGAATGCATTGAGTAGACCCTCCATCCTGAAGAAATGATGGTGGAAGGAGGCAGGAAGGATATGCCTGGTGGTGAAAGAAAGCTATAAGCAAGAGACATTATTTCTGCTCCAGGAATGAATATCTATGCTCCTCAATTGGGAAACCACCTGTATGTCAGAGGTGTTTTTGGAAAACACTAAGAGCAAGGGGCCGATGCAATCTCTGATCTTCCCAAAGCAGCCCAGCCTCTCCTCCTCCTGGGTCTACCCTGATCCTTTTCTTTATCTGCCTTGACAGACAGGGCTCTGATGTGGAGCATCCATACAGGAGGTGGAAGAGGGTTGAGATGCCATCGACCATCTCTCTTTCTCTCTGGTTGCCACTGCCTCCATTTCTGCAGAAGCCCTAAGGTCCCCTGACACCAGCACAGGGCCCTTGAGATAGAGCTCATGAAATAGTAAGATGTCATGGAAAAGCCAAATGGACTTATTGCACAGCGCAATCTCATTTACTATATTGTAAAGCATGGGACTCTTCATGGGTTCTTGATGCAAGGTTCCTGGAGTGGGTAGCCATTTCCTCCTCCAGGAGACCACATTTTGTCAGGACACTTCACTATGACCATCAGGCTTGAGTGGCCCTGCACGACATGGCTCATAGCTTCATTGAGTTACACAAGCCCCTTCATCACGAAAAGGCTGTGATCCACGAAGGGGAGATAGTGAAGGACAGGGGAGTCTGTTGTGCTGCAGCCCACGGGATCACAAAGTGTTGGACACAACATAGCGACGGGAGAGCAAAAAGAAAGCTGGGCCAGGAGGAGGGTCCTCACCTGTGACAGACAGGAGCAGGGGGTCGCTGGGGTCTGACCATGCATAGGGAGATCGAGTGAAGGAGCCGTAGCACCTGTAGGTCCCGCTGTGGTCTGGGGTCCCAGGACCCAGAGGGAACGCTGCCTGGAGTGCTCCGCGGGGGCCCTGCCTTCCAGCGAGCAGGCTCCCAAGGTTCTCCCCCTCCCTGAGCAGATGGAACTGGTCAAAGGCATGCTCGGAGCTGCAGAGCAAGGTCACATTCTCTCCTGACCTCACCACGGGCCCTCCCTGGGCTGAGAGAGAGGGTTCCTTCGACAGACCTGGAAGGAAGACTTGATCTTAGGGCACAAAGTAACTCTAGCCCTAAATAGAAGACTAAAGCCCGAAGTGTGCAACAAGAGAGGCACTGCAATGAGAAGTCCGCCCACCACCAGTAGAGAAAGCCCCACAGCCACACATACCCAGCACAGGGGAAAATTCAAACTTAACTTTAATAATGGAGTGTCACTTAATATCCTTTCTTGAAAAAAGATATATATGTATATGAAGAACTGAGTCACTCTAATGTACAAGAGGAATTAACATCTTAAATCGACTAGAATTCAAGAAAAAAAGAAAAAAGAAAATTTAAAAATCAACCAGATTGGGCTGCTCTTGAAAAACGGTACCTACTAACTACTGCTGGTACCATCAGAAAACATGGTGTTGACCCAGAAGCAGACATTATGTGGTGGAAATTTCCAGAATCTCACGGGATCTTTGACCACCTCATTCTTGAGGGAGTGTTCAGTGCTGCCCTGCCCACCCCCAGGGGTGGAAGGGACTCCTTAGTGGGGAGGGTTGGCAGGGACAACTCCTTCCTCTTTGTGCAGAAAGACGCGTTAAACCACGAGGCTGAGCAACTTCAGGGTGTCAACCTCCATCTGGATTACCCAGGGGCCAGACTGCAAGGGCATCTGGTACCACAGCACTCTAGACAGAGGAAGGGAGCTCTGACATGAAGGCGGGAAGCCAGCCCCTTAACCAACCAAAACTGGCTGCCTGAGCCGGGAACTGCCCCCGGGTCCCTGCTCTGGTGCATCGTCCTCCATCACTCGTTCTTTAACGTTCTGGCCGCTTCACTCTGTCACCAGCCGTGTCTTCTCTTTACCACATGGCAGGTGCTCTGTTCTCTTTCCCTTCCGTGTTCACACCTCCTCTCTCTCTGGTTTGTTCCCTCTCCCGAGTGTGTGAGCATCTCTGCACGCCTGTCATTGTCTCCCGGTACTGATGCTGGACTGGACACCAGACCTTCTCTGACACAGACAGCAGAGGGGACTGGTCTGGGCACACTCACCTGTCATGACGATGTCCACGGGGTCGCTGGGGGCTGACCACTCATAGGGGGAGTGGCTGAGAGAGCCGTAGCATCGGTAGGTGCCCGCACTCCCTGAGGTCATGGGGCCAATGAAGAAGTCAGCTGAGGCATGCCCTCCCATGAACGTCTCTTCACGTGTCTGGAAATGCCCTGTGCTGTTTTCCTGGTGCAGGATAAACTTGTCAAACAACAGCGGTGAGTGACAGCGAAGGGTCACATTCCCTCCTGCCTTCATGAGGGGGCCTGGGTGGGCTGAGATGGCGGGTTTTGTGAAAACACCTAGGAGCAAAGACTTTGTGAGCTTCAGTGAGTCACCCTGCCTCGGCACTTCCCCTGACATCTGAAGGTGTGAAACTATCCCCATGAACCACCAAAGCCAATTACCCTTCCTGTGTGTTCTGTTGCATTTTCTTTAGGCTTGTTCTCAGGCTCTGGCTCATGCTTTTCTCTTTCTCTTTGCTCAAGACCTCCAGCCTCCTCTGTTTTATTCTAAGCTCTTTAGCTATTGGATCTGCTCTCAGCTTCCTGCATGCATACTCAGTTGCTTCAGTCATGTTTGACTCTATACAATCCCGTGGACTGTAGCCCACCAGGCTCCTCTGTCCATGAGATTCTCCAGGCGACAATACTGGAGTGGGTTGCCATGCTCTCAGCTTCATTCCATCCCTAGTTTGCATTTGAGGGGCTCAGTGGGTTCTGAGAATGCATACCCTGTCTCCCTTCACATACATCTCCTATAACGTCGGTGATGACTGTCATCATTAGAAAGCAGTGGAGAAAAATGGAACATTTCCCATCTGTGACACCACCTCATGGCTCTGGGACACTTCCCAGGAACCCAGCTCCTTCACAGGAGACCTTAGTTCCCCGCTGGGTGGCAGGTGCTGGATCAGGGTCGTTCCCATCCTCCCTACTGGCAGGCAGTGACCGCATTCTGTCTAACTCATGCTGAGGGGGGCTCCTCCTTCCTGCACTGGGGCGCCCCATCCCTCTATTCAAACCCTGAGTTTAAACTCTCAGACTGGGTACTCTTTCTTTGGGTCACTCCTGGCTGGGAACCCTGCGTAAGCCTTGGGTGCACTGGCATGTGGGCCTAAGGTAGGATTGCCGGCAGGCTCGGCCATCGCAGGCTGGGCTGGACCCCTCCTACCTGTGACCACAATCTGCAGGGGGTCACTGTGTGTGTACGAGTAGGCTCCAGAACACATGTAGGACCCGGCATGTTCTCTGGTCACTGGGCCAATGGTGAAGGGGTTGAAATGATATCCCTGGACCTTGGACAAACTGGTCCTGTCTCTTTTGTACAGTCTGAATATCTTAAGTGGAGAATCAGAGTGACATCGAAGAGTCACAGTCTGTCCTAAGGCAACCACAGGACTTGGCCAGGCTGACAAAGATGGCTTGTCATATTCACCTAGGACAGAAGGAGGCACAGGCTTTGAGAGGCAAATAAGAACAGTCTCCTCTCCCCCCTGCCCCCATGGGCACTTCCCTTTAATTCTTCCAACTCTTCTCCCGTAAACTGCATTACCTTGATGCTCAACGACACCTGGGGTTTGGGGACAGACAGAGACACAGTCGACCCAGGGCGGACATCATGGAGATTCTAAGAATGTGATTCTCAGAAGCGATTCTTCTCAGGAGAAGAATCATTCCTTGGGTTGACAAAATTTTGAGAGACTTTCTCTCAAAACACAAAACACTGGGGATTCCCTGGTGGTCCAGTGATTAGGACTCAGCAATTTCTCGACCAGGGCCCAGGTTCATCCCTCATCATGGAACTAAGATTCTGCAAGCTGCACGATGCAGGCTAAAGAAAACACCACAGAGAAATTGATGCATGGAAAAGAAGTGAAAGAACTTCCCTGTTGGATTTGTTATAGCTCAAACAGTACAAAATCATCCTGCAATGCAGGAGAGCAGGGTACAATCCCTGAGCTGGCAAGATCCCCTGAGCAAGAGAATGGCATTCCCACTCCAATATTCTTGCCTGGAGAATCCCATGGACAGAGGAGCCTGGTGAGCTCCAGATCATGGGGTCGCAAAGAGTCAGACAAAATTGAGCGACTAACAGTAACAGAACTAACAAGTGAAAAAGCCACTGGACTGAAAAGAAGGAAGGAAACCATGAACCTCACTCTTTTGTTAGCTAGCCTCCATCAAATGTGGGACCAGGTCCAGGTGGCCCTGCCTGATGCCCAGCCCCTCCCCTGGGGTCAGGTCTAGCGGGCGGTCCTGCAGATCGCCCTTTGTTAAGGGCCGGTTGGAGAGGCCATGAGCCACCTACTCTGAGAGGGGTCCGTGGGGTGAGGCCTCTTGCTCCCCTCTCATGATAGAAATGGCACTCAGGGCACCTGGGATCCACAGGGCACGCGGCTCTCACTGTACTGACAGGGGTATCACCCTGCCCCCCCCCCCAAGTGTCATCTGCCTCAGCCCCGCCTGCTCTGCTGAGCACAGAAACAAGGGATGGGGAGGACTCACCCACAGCTGCCCAGATCCTCAGACTCACACAGAATCCTAGAAGGAAAACCTCATCAGAGATGGCTCATCCCGATGGACCCCACGCTCCTTGCACCCTCATCCAGGGAACCTGGTCAGTGGCGTGAAGACCCCCGATTTCCACCATAAACCTCTCCTACCGGGTCTTTCCTGACTCACCGAGACTCAGGAGGCTGAGGAGTGTGGGCCACATAGCTCTGCTTCTGTGAGTCAGGAGGCAGGACTGAGCAAAGCTGACCGAGTCACAGGATGCGGAAGGCGGGCGGTGTTGTTCATACAGTCACCCTGGTGCAGGTCACAGGGGAAGATGGCCAGCCTCTTCTCACACCAGGGATGGAAGTCTGACCTCAACCTCCTCACTGAGCACGCCTCATGACCTGGGCATCACTTTTTGTTTCCCTAAACACCGAGGATTTGAACAGATCTTGCTGCCTTTAGGAAGTAGTAACGGTGATTCAGTGTATAGCATGTAAGATGCTTTTCCTAAGCTCATGATAAATGTCATTAACCTTAACTTTTTGCAGAAGAGAAATCACATGTTCCCACCTCGTATCTAAGGCTAAGTGCAGATGCCAATTAAACACTCATTAATAGAGACTTTGATTCTGCATTCTTATAAGAGAAGGAGACATGCATATTATGGCTTTTAGAAAATTAAAAAAAAATTCTATAGTGGAGCATATGTGATTAAGAAACTCACTGTTAGTTTCAGGGTACAACAAGGTGATTCAATTATACACACACATGTATCTACTGCTTTCCAAATTCTTTTCCCACTTAGCTAGTCATGGAATATTAAGCAGAGTTCCCTGTGCTATCCAGTAGGTCCTTGTTGGTCATCCATTCTAAATATAGCCGTGGGTATATGTCAAACCCAAACTGCCAATCTATCCCTCCCCCCATCCACCATCCCACCTGGTAACCTTAAGGTCATTCTCTGTGAATCTGTTTTGTAAATAAGTTCATTTTCTTAGATGTCACCAATAAGCAATATCATGTGATATTTGTCTTCCCCTGACTCTTCTTCTTTATCTGAAAATGTTTCTTAACTATGAGTGGAAACTTTGCACACATACACTCCCTCTGTCTCTCTCTCTTGCCTCCTTTCCAATCCAAGGACCACACGTGTACAGAAAGAAAATGTGTGTAAGATGAGTGTGGGGGGCTTTGGGGCAAAAGAAAATTGTTTTGCTAGGAAAGGTGGACAACCTTGCTTACTACATAAAAATGTGTAAGGTAGAGACTTCCAAAGTCCAGAATGCTTGAGTGAGCAGGGTGTCCACAAGAATCAACTGCAAAGCAGGAAAAAATGGCCAGCCGTTTCAGGTCTCTAAGGGCAGACATACACCCGGTTCTGCTTTTGTTCACAGACAGGAAATAACCTCAGTAAGGGCAGTGATGCCACACCATGTTGCTGGGAGTGGGTTGTTAACGTTAGTGATGCTCCCTAAGTAATAAATC